ATTTTCAGGAATTTTTGCAATTTTCGCAATCTTTGCAATTTTCGGGAATTTTTGCAATTTTTGCAATTTTCAGGAATTTTCGCAATTTTTGCTATTTTCAGGAATTTTTTGCAATTTCAGCAATTTTCAGGAATTTTTGCAATTTCAGCAATTTTCAGGAATTTTTGCAATTTTTGCAATTTTCAGGAATTTTTGCAATTTTTGCAATTTTCAGTAATTTTTGTGATTTTTGCAATTTTTGCAATTTCCAGGAATTTCTGCAATTTTTGCAATTTTCAGAAATTTTTGCAATTTTTGCAATTTTCAGGAATTTTTGCACTTTTTGCTATTTTCAGGAATTTTTGCAATTTCCAGGAATTTTTGCAATTTTTGCAATTTTCAGGAATTTTTGCAATTTTTGCAATTTCTGCAATTTCTGCAATTTTTGCAATTTTTGCAATTTTCAGCAATTTTTGCTATTTTCAGGAATTTTTGCAATTTTTGCAATTTTCAGGAATTTTTGCAATTTTTGCAATTTTTGCAATTTCTGCAATTTTCAGGAATTTTTGCAATTTTTGCAATTTTCAGGAATTTTTGCAATTTTTGCTATTTTCAGGAATTTTTGCAATTTTAGCAATTTTCAGGAATTTTTGCAATTTTAGCAATTTTCAGGAATTTTTGCAATTTTTGCAATTTTCAGGAATTTTTGCAATTTTTGCAATTTTCAGGAATTTTTGCAATTTTTCCAATTTTCAGGAATTCTTGCAATTTTTGCAAGTTTCAGGAATTTTTGTGATTTTTGCAATTTTTGCAATTCTCAGGAATTTCTGCAATTTTTGCAATTTTCAGGAATTTTTGCAATTTTTGCAATTTTCAGGAATTTCTGCACTTTTTGCTATTTTCAGGAATTTTTGCAATTTCCAGGGAATTTTTCAAATTTTTGCAATTTTCAGGAATTTTTGCAATTTTGGCAATTTCTGCAATTTTCAGGAATTTTTTGCAATTTCTGCAATTTTTACAATTTTCAGGAATTTTCGCGATTTTCGCAATTTTCATGAATTTTTGCGATTTTTGCAATTTCTGCAATTTTCAGGAACGTTCGCAATTTTTGCAATTTTCAGGAATTTCTGCAATTTTTGCAATTTTCAGGAATTTTTGCAATTTTTGCAATTTTCAGGAATTTTTGCACTTTTTGTTATTTTCAGGAATTTTTTGCAGTTTCCAGGAATTTTTGCAATTTTCAGGAATTTTTGCAATTTCTGCAATTTCTGCAATTTTTGCAATTTTTTCAATTTTCAGGAATTTTCGCAATTTTTTGCTATTTTCAGTAATTTTTGCAATTTTTGCAATTTCCAGGAATTTTTGTGATTTTTGCAATTTTGGCAATTTTCAGGAATTTCTGCAATTTTTGCAATTTTCAGGAATTTTTGCAATTTTTGAAATTTTCAGGAATTTTTGCACTTTTTGCTATTTTCAGGAATTTTTGCAATTTTCAGGAATTTTTGCTTTTCAGGAATTTTTGCAATTTATGCAATTTCTGCAATTTTTGCAATTCTCAGGAATTTTTGCAATTTTTGCTATTTTCAGGAATTTTTGCAATTTTAGCAATTTTCAGGAATTTTTGCAATATTTGCAATTTTCAGGAATTTTTGCAATTTTAGCAATTTTCAGGAATTTTTGCAATTTTAGCAATTCTCAGGAATTTTTGCAATTTTTGCAATTTTCAGGAATTTTTGCAATTTTTGCAATTTTTGCAATTTTCAGGAATTTTTGTGATTTTCGCCTTTTTTTGCAATTTTTAGGAATTTTTGCAATTTTTGCAATTTTCAGGAATTTTTGCACTTTTTGCTATTTTCAGGAATTTTTGCAATTTCCAGGAATTTTTGCAATTTTTGCAATTTTCAGGAATTTTTGCAATTAGTGCAAATTCTGCAATTTTTGCAATTTTTGCAATTTTCAGGAATTTTCGCAATTTTCGCTATTTTCAGGAATTTTTGAAATTTTAGCAATTTTCAGGAATTTTTGCAATTCTAGCAATTTTCAGGAATTTTTGCAATTTTTGCAATTTTCAGGAATTTTTGTAATTTTTGCAATTTTTGCAATTTTCAGGAATTCTTGCACTTTTTGCTATTTTCAGGAATTTTTGCAATTTCCAGGAATTTTTGCAATTTCTGCAATTTTCAGGAATTTTTGCAATTTTTGCTATTTTCAGGAATTTTTGCAATTTTCAGGAATTTTTGCAATTTTTGAAATTTTCAGGAATTTTTGCAATTTCTGCAATTTTTGCAATTTTCGCGATTTTCGCAATTTTCAGGAATTTTCGCGATTTTTTGCAATTTCTGCAATTTTTGCAATTTCTGCAATTTTCAGGAATTTTCGCAATTTTTGCAATTTTCAGGAATTTTAGCAATTTTTGCAATTTCTGCAATTTTCAGAAATCTTTCAAATTTTTGCAATTTTTAGCAATTTTCGCAATTTTCAGGAGTTTTTGCACTTTTCAGTCATTTATGCGATTTTTGCAATATCTGCAATTTTTGCAATTTTTCCAATTTTCAGGAATTTTTGCAACTTTTACAATTTTCAGGAATTTTTGCAATTTTGCAATTTTCAGTCATTTTTGCGATTTTTGCAATTTTCAGGAATTTTGCAATTTTCAGGAAATTTTGCAATGATTGCTATTTTCAGTCATTTTTGCGATTTTTGCAATTTCTGCAATTTTTGCAATTTACACAGTTTTACAATTTATACAGTTGAATAGAGAATTTCAAGGCAATGAGATAGGCTACAGAAATATACAGGATGGTTGAAGAATATTGTCATGGGTTGAAGGGAAACACCATCATCGATATTATAACCCTAGTGAATTTCAAATTTGTATCTCTCCAAATAAAAAACTATTGACTGTCCTCTCCTGTGTCATTCGGTATAACAAAGTTCTCTGATAAACTAGTGTTTATTGACATATTCTTTCAAAACTTCTATTCGCAATGACATAATGGATCCTTGAATATCTCGAATTCTAAACATTGATTATTATTATAACTCAGCTCCTTTCTACCTATTTGTGGAATCAGTCATTATAATTATTTATTCTAAACATTGTAGTCCATTTCTCTACTTGTTTAAAAAGAAAAATTTCAAATACTGGTCCTCATATTGCACGTAAGTGTTAGTTTTAGAATGCAACTTTCAATTCCAAGTTTCATGTTATTAGGTTTCTAGGAACCTGTTTGTGATCTTCTTGAAATGAATTAATAAATAATGAAATAAATAAATAATTGGGTTTCCCCCACTTGCGTTCCAAGAGATGAAGAGAATGTGTACGACTGAAACATAATCTTATGATTATGATGGAAAATCTGAAAAAAAAGTTGGGTTTCTAGGTGTTGGGAAAAATTGCCGTGACATGATGAATATTTAAATATACCTGTAGCAAGGACGATGCAGATAATTTGCCACAAAATGTCACCAAGTATAAAATATCAATATTAAATATTGATATAGTTAGTGATATCTTGTTTGAACAATGTTTGAAGAAGAATATACACTCAGATGCAAAAAAACGCAACAATTTAATATTCGGTCATATTTGAAGTCTCATAACTTTTTAATTTTTTTCTCAACAAACTGTAGATAAAATGACAAATCTCAATTTAAATATCCTGTTTTTTATTAAATGCTGGCGGATTAGTCATTATATAGGGTTAATTGAAAGGTTGTTGTGTAACCATAATTTCAAAACACCCTGTGGAATAATTTGGTAGCCGAATTCGTTCAGAATATCAATTTTTGTTAAGAATCATTCCATTCCTACATTTTGATTTTGGTTCATGTCTTCATGTGCACTGGATCATATTTTAAAAGCGAAATGAACTTGAACTTGAAAAAAAGAAAATGTTAAATTAAAGTGCAACTGTAACTTGATCAACCTAAAAAACGTATTGCCACCTCTAGCTCTTATAACTGCCTGTATACGTCGGTTCATACTATCGATAAGGTTACGAATAGCATCCTGAGGAATATTATGCTGTTCCTCCTGAAGGGCTATACTGTATTTGCTGTAACCGGAGCTACTTCGCGATCCCTGAGTCGTCTACCAAGCATGTCCCATACATGCTCTATTGGGTTGAGATCAGGTGAACATGCTGGCCAGTTCATTTTGTTCCGCGAGGTATTGTGTAACATACATTGCCGTATGTGGCCGTTTATTAGGATGAAACCATCTCCGATATATCCACTGGAAGGTACAACGTAATTGTTTAATATCTCCTCAAGGATCCATCGATGACCACCATCTCAGTACAGGCCTCCTGGGTTATTCCTGCTCACACCATTACTGAACCTCCTTCATAGCTCAGACGGGTACTGAACGTGCACTTCCAAATCTTTCTCCACACACTTTTCCGTCCATCTGGAGAATATAAGCAGAATCTGGATTCGTCAGTGAAAAGAACATTGTTCCATTGCCTCTAAGTTCCAAGTTAAATGTTCAGTGGCAAATTCCAGTCTAGCTACTCGGTGACGTGGAAGCGATTTGGGTCAGTTGCTGGTCTGCAAGCTTTCGAACCAAAATCCTTCAATCTTCGGCGAACTTGCCACTCCATACACTGACAGTTGTACCTCGAACCTCCTGGAGTTGATTTCTTGACTGCACTGATGTTGAGTGACGATCCCGCAGAGTTTTAACGTGAATCGAGATCGAACCAAAAATTGAAAAGTTATGTGACTTTGAATTGAACCGAATATTGACTTGTTGCGTTTTTTTGCATCTGAGTGTGGATTGATGAAATATTGAATTCCACTTATCTTTGGTCGTTTCGGGAACGGATCTGTAGAGTGAAATTCACAAAGTTTATGACTTATACGGTGGAATATAATTTCAGATTAGATATAATCAACATACCTACTATTAAATACAGAGGGATATTTTGAAAATAATCAGGCCACTGAATTGTCTGGAAAGAATACACAAACCTATAAGTGTTATTAAATATCTATACAAATGAATCTTTTTGTTTCAGATCGTCTACTTGGGGACCGGATGATTGGCTGAAGCAATCTTTTTGTCGGTTTTGAAACATGTTATCGAGGAACACTACTAACAGAAAAAGTTATTATTGGGACTTTATAAACCATGTTATTTCGTGAATTCGACATAATTTGAGGTGCAGAGAAGATACCACTTGTCTCGAAAGGTGAGTCCCAGTCTCAATAATTATACAGGCTGTTTCAAAATTCAGTATCAATATTTCAAGGGATTATTTTTCAGACGGAAATAATACTTTTTCTCCTAAAAAAACGTGTTTCAGATCAGAAAATGACATTTGTTTTCAACTCACTCTCACCTTGTCAAAAATTCAGTAGATTTCAATAGATCTGTTCATGATCTATTTCATGATAAAGGAATTCCAGGAATTCCATGATAAAGAAGTAAATCTATGACGTCACTATACTTTCAGTAAGTAGAACAGTAACCTATTTTCAACAAAATAACATTGTTATACAAAAATGATCATATTCCTAATTCTCAATTTAAATATATACACAAATATCTCAAAATTCAGTAACATAGGTAGGTACTAAGATTTGAGTGTATAAAAAACAAGAACGAATAGTGAAAATGAACAACAAAAATGTATGTTCGTTACATATTTTGTAAAATTACTTTAAACAGAGCGTGGCAAAATACCATGCAATTTATAAGTGTAGTTGATTAACAGAAGATTGAACTGACAACCCTGCAGCGGACGAAAAGTTAGTGTATGCGGACAAAAAGTACTCGTTGTTGAAAACATCTTTCCACAAACGCTTCGTTTTCGATCTAGAGAGCGTTGGAGATTCCAAGATTTTCTTTTCTTATTGATTTTTTGGTTCTAGAGATATTCAGATCAAATTTGAGAAGATGCTTTATGGGTTCACATCGAACAGTATGTCGAGTGAATGTAAGAATCTATAGGGGATATATTTTTCAGAGGCAAGCCTTTTTTCGGTCCATATAAACTTTCTGGTGGAGCGCCACTGGTAGATTTTGGGATACGAAATGAGTTTTTTGTTTTGTTGATAAAATTTTTGGTCTCTTGTTATTTTTACTCATCTGTGACCGTTATCGAGAAATAAATCATTTTTGTAATAAGCAGGGAGGAACATATTATCACAATTAAAACAAAAAAACGATTCATATTTAGTTCGTGATTTCAATTACAAGTTCCCAAATATCCCGTGAAAAATAAAAAACCAATAACGGATCATGGCACGTATATCGGTAACGGAACGTTTGCGGACACATATTCATAGGAAAAAAAAGTCTTATTTCCACCTGAAAATTGAGTCCTTGATATCTTGAAACTGAATTTGGAAACGCCCTGAATATATTTTATTATATCTATAATACCACAGCTCATATAGAACTAATAAGTTCATCACTGTACCGCTTATATTTATTTCAAGCAATTTTTTTTCTACTTTGGCAAGGTTAGTTTTATGATTTTTTTTACTGAAACATTCTGCACTGGTCTGATATATTTAAACATTTGGCAACAACGCTTTTTGTACACTTCAAAGTATCATTCGAGATCAAAAATGTATTTACAGCCATACACTTTCTAATCACTCATGCTTAAATCAATGGTTTTTGGGTTATGTGACCATGTTACTGGTACCAACCCGGTATATGTCGTCTGGCAAATGATTTGTCAGCCTCCAATAATTATCCAATGAACGATGCGAGATGAGTAACAATCAGAACACGTTCATTATCTGGTCTAATCGAGATGAACATGTTTGTGCTGCTTCCTTAAAAAAATGGAGCAAGGTTGAAAAAGATGAACTATCCGTCATAGTCTAGGCTAGGCTGTCTAGTATCTAACTCTATACTTCTTCCTGTGACATGACCATCAAATTTGTTTGATGAAAAATGAGACTGTCCAAAACACATTTACTATTTTTTATAATGAAATTTCAGTCATCACTCTTCTTTAAGTAGGTGCGTCTTCTTCTACCTTTTCCACGAAGAGAAGGTATTACTCATTTCTCATTCTTTGTTCTATTAGGAAATTTATTAGAAATATTCGAGATTTTATGTAGGGTACAATTGGTCATAATGAAAATCCAGAAGAAATCTTGAAAAATAGGAATTGACTTATATTTTTCAATGAAATTTTGAAATAAACCTAGGGATCAATATAGTTTCATTACGAAGATATTTCCGTTCAATACTTTCATAAGCTCAATGAGTGTTTTTTTTATGTTCTGGTTCCCACCTAAACATCGTCAGAACCAAGGAACCAAGGAATTCGTGTTCTTCTTAAATTTCCGGAGGTTATATGCCTCGGGGAACACTTCCCTTGGCAATGGCTTCCAGAGCCTCGCTGTTCGTTGGATGAACAAGTCTTTGGAAAGAGATGTTTTGCAGATATCCAAAGTGACCACGAAGGGGTGCGAAGCCTCAACTCGACGGGTTAATCTCGCGGGGACTGCCAAGAGAGGAACAATTGTTGATATATTTCAGAAGAAATGAAATGAAAATATTTATAAAATAGAGCCAGATCGCCAACTTTTCTACGGTGTTCCAGAGAAGTGAGTGATTTTTGTGAGCGAGGCATCACCCACGAGACGAATTGTCCTTTTTTGGACAGAATCCAACAGTTTGTTTCAGGGTATGTTTGGGTGCTGCACTCCAAATATGGGAACAGTATTCCAGGACAGGTCGGATCTATGCCTTATTGATCATAAACAGCTGACTGGAAGTGAAATAGCTCCTGGCCCGAAACAGAAAACCAAGTTTTTGGGATGCACTTTCAGCAATTGATTTCACGTGATTTTCCCAAGAAAGGTTATTGCTGATAGTAATACCAAGCATCGAAATGGATGTCTTCGAAGGTATGGTTACTCCTGACAAGCTCATGTTGGTCACAGTGAGATCATCTTTTCTAGAGAAAAGGCATGCTTGTGTTTTGTTTGCATTGAAATCTACCAAGTTATTGGATCCCCATTCGAGAATTGTTGCTAAGTCCATATTTATGTTGTCAACATTTCTTCCTGGTTCGTTTCTGATTTGCCTGGCTGGTATTGGAGCCCTGGAAGAGAAGGCGGTACCTTCGTGATCATTTGAAACAACCCTATTCACCCGGTATATCGTTGAATTCGTTATGGTAACTCCTAAATGATTTCGAAATAAAATACAGGATGTTGGAGTCGTAAGTGATGGAAGCGTGAGAAATATAAAAAAAATTACAATTCTTAAATCCAACACTCCTGCCACGTGTGCATATATCATACCTTCAGAACTCTGGCTTGTCTAATGAATACGTTGACACCCGGTATATAATTTTCTGACCTTGAGGCCCATTTCAGTCAATGCAGAGTCAACTTCGATTTTTCAAATTGAAAGTAACATTTCTATTCATAAATTTTGAACAATTGAAGAGTTAAAAAAATAAACAACGTTTATCACTTTCAGACATTCAGAAAAGAAACTGAATTATGAAGTGGTTTCATTTCAGAAAGGGAGAATAATAATGACGGTTTCATTTTCTAACCTCCTGATCGTTTTCAAGGTCTGATACGTAATGAAAAACTGGAAAAAAAATCAATCGCCAAGACTAGTGAATTCGATTCCAGATGGTAATTGATCTAACATAATTTTATTTAATGCGCGTGCTTCTTTCAATAAATCTCCACAAAATTTATGCTTTCTCGTTTTAAAAATAAAAAAACGCACACTCAACTCATTACAACTAGCCGAGCTCTATACGTAATAGCTATACGTATATATACATGAAAGAGATACTTTTTTCTCTTTGAAGATTTCCAAGAGCTTCTATTCGATAATTTCGTATGGATTTGCTTATTATGTAATAGCGAACAGATGCAAAAGCTTGCAGTCAATCAGTCAAGTGCATTTTTATTAGCGCCGAAAAAATAGTGAAGTGGCTCATTATGAATCAATTAGGGTAACCAGACGTAATCTTTTAATAGTACAAGTACCTACTATTTTCTGGGGCTACTGTCCATTGACTGGAAGGTAAATGTACTATTTTCTATAGTCAATAATGCAGATTATTTAGTTGAATGAGTGCAAGGATTCCAGATAGCCTTGATGTTATGAATATCGTATTTCAGTAGTGGTCGGTTTCATCTGACTCTCTTATCATAAATGCTGGTGTTCCGCAAGGATCATTTCTAGCACAAACACTATTTCTACTCCATATCAACGATTTGGTGGAAGCAATTTCATGTCCAGTACACAGCTTCGCGGATGATAGTACCCTCCATACCGCCTTCTCTTCCAGGGCTCCAATTCCAGCCAGGAAAATCAGGAACGAACGAGGGAGAAATGTTGACAACATAAATATGGACTTGGCAACAATTCTCGAATGGGGACCCAATAACTTTATAGATTTCAATGCAAACAAAACACAAGCATGCCTTTTCTCTAGAAGAGCCGATCCCACTGTGCCCAACATAAGCTTGTCAGGAGTAACCATACCTTTGAAGACATCCATTTCGATGCTTGGGATTACTATCAGCAATTACCTTTCTTGGGAAAATCTTGGGAAAAACTTGGTTTTCTGTTACGGGCCAGGAGCTATTTCACTTCCAGTTAGCTGCTTATGATCTATAAGGCACAGATCCGACCTGTCCTGGAACACTGTTCCCATATTTGGAGTGCAGTACCCAAACATACCCTGAAACTGTTGGTTTCTGACCAAAAAAGGGCAATTCATCTCGTGGGTGAAGCCTCGCTCACAAACTAACTCACTTCTCTGGAACACCGTAAAAAAGTTGGCGATCTGGCTCTATTTTATAGATATTTTCATGGACGATGCTTTTCTGAAATATCAACAATTATTTCTCCCTTGGCAGTCCCCGCGACCCATCAAGTTGAGGCTTCGCACCCCTTCGTGGTCACTTTGGAGACTTGCAGAACATCTCTTTTCAAAGACTCGTTCATCCAACAAACAAGGAGGCTCTGGAACACATTGCCAAGGGACGTGTTCTCCGAGGCATATAACCTCCAGAAATATAAGAAGAACACCAATTCCTACCTCATTTTCCTTGGTTCTCACGATGTTCGCTGAACATTACAGGATATCCCTTTTCGTGGGAACCAGAACATAAAAGAAAAGTTATCAGTCTTATCACAACTATACTGAAAATGTTTATGGCTTTCCGTATCTCATGGATTGAACACCACTATAGAAAAACTGCTGAAGAGCTCATGAAAATATCTTTCCAGAACGACAAGATTGTCTCTTTCTATGATTAACCGTTCTTGATTTTGATCACGAAAAATGATGTGGAATAAAACGTCACAAAGTTATACTCAAAAATCAATTTGTGATACATCGTTGAATTCAGAAAAAAATCCTGGTTCATCCCAATTTCAAACCAGTTTATACAGGGTGTTTCAGAGTTCAGTGTTTCTCAGTGACATCTTGAAAAAATATTCCGTTAACATTTTATTGAATGTTACGTCTTTTTGTTTGCATAAACAATAATTTGCAATAACTTTCTGAATAACATCTAAGCATTCTCATTTTTCATTCTGTATAATTCTGTGATATAATATGTCCGTTTTTCTCGAAAACGAAGCAAGATATACTAAAAATAGCAAGAGATAGAAATGTTGTATTTTTAGTGGATTCATCTGAATATTTGGAGAAGAAGCAGAAAAAGAACACAGGGTGACTTTTTTCCACAAAAAAAATCGAGTTGCTCGATATCGATAAATATTTCTTTTTTTTTTAATGAAACATTTTCGCGGGCCCATTTTCATAAGAACTTTTTTTCATATTTTGTTGGGAGGATTCTTCCATAGGCTTTTGTCACCACAACTCCTGAACACCTTGTATAGTGTTTCAAACGTAAAATGTGTTAATTTCAATATGTTCCGTCAATGAACTTACAATTAAGGAGGTGCCTTACTGTACATAGATATTCAGTCAAGTAGTTACACAGGAAAATATCAATTAAATTAATAGCGACATGTCTCATCAATGTTTTCCATTTGCATTTAAAACACGCTGATCACATTTTTGTGTTTCCCTTCACGTCACTTGTGATGTTCCATGGAAAAACATCGTAGTTATCTAATCGACTTTTTATAAAAGGAATAATTGAACTTTCATGTGGTGGTATGTACAGGATGGGCCAAATAGAGCACTTTTAAAGGGAAAGACCTATTCCCGTACAAGATAGATATCTATCTTTATTTCAGAGTTACAAGGTGTTTTTCGAAAATGTGAATTTATGACAAGTGGCTAAAACCTTATTTTTTGTTTGTCAAAAATTCTTCGTTTCCATGAATGCATTTCCAAAGCATTGTGTTTGTCATGAAAATTGATCCTCAGGCACTGAAATCAACCACCGTATACCTAGTTGGAAAATAAAACTTTTCTTTCAAGAAAAACAAGTTATATTCTTGAACAAGAAATAAACTGGGCGTCAATTGAAACGTTAATAGTGAAATTTGGCATCAAGTTTGACTTCTCGTAATTTCTGAAATATTGAACGAATTCTGAATTGCCGCCCAGATTCTGAATGCCTTTTTCATCTTCTTTCGAACCGTTCCTTACAGCTTCTTCTAAATTGATCAGGACCCGTGATAAAGGGTGAAACGAAAAGTTTCGTGCATTTCGAAAAATATTTCTCCGCCCCCCCATTTTGTCGGAGGACCACGATGCTCATATTTTATTCGGGCATTTCATAAATAGCAACCATACCTCGGGACGTTTTCGAGTTTTTGCCAAAAACTACTGTGGTTTCAGAAAAAAAAATTTTTTGAATTTTTTTTAAATGGACTAATTTCAGAGGAGTTCCATAAATGGATACTTTTATGCATTTCAGGAAAGCGTTGTAGCAGATATGTATACCAGGTTACTCAAAAACAATCAATAATTTATTACTTTGCAGTCTATGATGAAAGTTTTCTACCTTAGTGAGCAGTAAATCAACACATCTAATCAACAAAAACAAACAACGATACCTTGTTTCTATAACAACGTATTGTTGAAATAATGTAGGTATGCATAGAGGTTATATCAATTGCCAATTTTCATGAAAACGTCAGTGTTATTCGGGTCCTAAAAAATTTAAAGATGCCTCGTTCAAATCGGGTCGAAATGAAAAATATCATTAGATGAGATCACTATAGTGATATAAACTATAATTCAGTACAGATAATTATTATTTCAGGTTACGACGATTAGGATATACCCAAACTTATTTGAGTACCATTCTCAATGAGTCAGTCATGACAATAAATAGACTGATTCATCGTTTTGAGGATACAGGTAATCAGGCCATTTAAAAAAAATGCAAACAATTTTTTTTCTGAAACCATAGTAGTTTTTGGCAAAAACTCGAGAACGTCCCGAGGTATGGTTGCTATTTATGAAATGCCTGAATAAAATATGAGCATAGTGGTCTTCCGACAAAATGGGGGGGCGGAGAAATTTTTTTCAAAATGCACGAAACTTTGTTTCACCCTGTATCACGGGTCCTGATGAATTCAGAAGAAGCTGTAAGGAACGGTTCGAAAGACGATGAAAAAGGCATTCAGAATCTGGGCGGCAATTCAGAATTCGTTCAATATTTCAGAAATTACGAGAAGTCAAACTTGATGCCAAATTTCACTATTAACGTTTCAATTGACGCCCAGTTTAGGACGGCCGATTTCAGTGGCTCGGGAACAATTTTTATCACAAACTCGATGCTTTGCAGTTATTTTCATAAGAACAGACCATTTTTGCCAAAAAAATCTGTAGTCACTTCTCAGAATTGCCCATTTTCGAAAAACACCTTGTAATTGAGTACGCCACTGGATTCGGCATAAAATTCTCTATGGGTTAAGATTTTAATCTGACATTTTCACTCAAAAACTTCGTAGATATAGAGGGGGTCTAAAAAGTATAAATTTTCAAAATCGCCCTGTATCTCAAAAACGAAAACAGATATGCAAAATCTGATCAGGACAATCCGAATCTCAATAACTCGAAATCAGTTGCTCGCAGCGACACCTACCAGGAATATATGCTTCACATAAAAGTGTTCTAGAAGAGTCAAAAGACATGTAGGTGGCGCCACTCCCACGAAAGAGACAAAATTACATAAAATTTAATATTGTCATTGAAAAATATTCCTAGATACCAAATTTCATTTCAATATCCCAATTATTTTGAAATTTATTAACAAAAAACATAAATAAGCATTCAACTTTGGCACTCTGTATCTCAGAAACGAATAACTTTCGGACATATATTTATACAAACTTTTCTTCATATTTTGACGTCAGCAACATGCTACTGAATTTCCTACACGTACTCAAGAAACACCCTGTATATACCGTCATGAGAAATCTCTTCATACGAGACATTCTCATTTTCTTGTTTGTTTCTTTATTTCAGATATTTTGGTGATATTTCGTTCTGCTTTCGGTATGACGAAGTTCGTGAAACGGTTCAGATCAGTTATGGCTTGTGTCGCGATTTTGGTTCTGGCAGCTGTCATCGTGATGGTTTGGGTGCAATTCAGCCAGGGGGCGTTCAGGAACAAGAGACAGTACGAAGAGGTGAATGTGACTAACACCATGGGACAGCAAGAAACTACCAGAATTTTCAACACCACGAAACATAAAGGTAAAAACACTTGAATTTGATTATTATTGAATCGACAGCGTAGGTTTATACCATCCTCAGTACGGCAATAACATCAACAGCAATGTTATTTCATACATTCACTGTTACCTAATCTATTGTGACATATTTTCAAATTAAAGCAATTTCTAATTTTCGGGGCGTCAAACTATGACGTACATTTTGAATCTGGTCTGAAAATATCTGATGATGAAGAATATAGCTAGCGAATTGTTAACGAATAGGTAACGAATGAAAATCGAATGGAAAAAATACAAAAAGGAGTAAAACTGTTAAACAGAAGCGTTCATAACCACAATTGCACTCGGAGCAGGAATGTAGAGGGTAGTTTGCTTCATCCTGACAGGTTATGGTTTTGTTATTTATGCATTGAAACATCTCGACTAGAGCTCGATCCTAAGCGAAAATATCATTGAATCAATGAATCACTATCGGCTACATTCAATGATAATATCCTTCCTAATTCACTGTCATCGGTCAAAACAGAATGAAGCCGACACCCATGGCTCCTTCCTCTTGTTGTGCCTGTCAGTATTTTGAGTGGTGTGGACGGACTCGAAGTTTTAGGCGCTGTTGCAAGATATAATCTGCAACTTTCCTAGAAAATAGATTAGTTTTATTAAGGAACGAAGTCATTAGCAAAAAAATGACTGACAAGTTATGAATAATATATTGTAATATAATGATAGTGAAAAATTATAGATACTATCGCAAAAAAACATAATTTTTCTTTATTAGTAATCAACTTCATTCAGACAATGAGAGATTTATGGGAATTATCCATAATACTTGACAAAGTAGGATTGAAGAACCTTTTATATTCCATTGCTGTTATGATATAGTGATTATGCATTCAGACAACAATTTCCGGAAATCTAGACATATTGATGATGTTGGCAACGTCGTACTGGCACAGGGAATCGTCTATCAACTTTGTGTGAATGTGGATTTTCAGAAAGTACGTCATAGGAATGGTGGAGGAGCCAAGTTTCTCTTTTATTTATTGTTTTCTGAAGTGAAATAATACGTATATTTATTTTTTTTCCAAACTCCACCGTCAGATAAGAACCTCAATATAGAAAACTTCCCCATTCGAGAGACAGTATCTATTGTTTCATATTTAAAGTTGTTCTGTTATACAGGGTGTCTGTAAAAGGTCTTTACAAAAACATACCACATATTCCCTAGACCAAAATAAGTCGATTCAAGTATAATTACCTCAGTACAAAGTTGCATCGTTTGGGCTCCAGAGGGCCTTGAAGTTACAATTTTTTAATCGTTTTTCCCATATAAATTTAAAACGGCATATGCGATTTTGCTGAAATTAGGTATATTGATAGAGTTTTATGTGGCAAAAAAATAGTGTTAAAGTTTTGTCCGATGATAATACATAGGCTTAGAACTTGATTTTTTAAATAATTGCACCTTCAAAAATTCTAAGTCAATGGAAGAAAAGGAGTTCGAGTATGGAATTTAGATTACGCAACTCGTTTACTTTGAGAAAGGTACTCTTGATATGACTCGATTGCTCTCATGGTTTTGACGAAATTTGCATTTTAGTAATTTTAGAACATAAACAATAATTATTAAAACACAAACTTCAGAATCATGAGAGTAAATCAAGTATTAACAAGTGTACTTTCTTGTAGTAAATGAGTACCCAATCCAAATTTCATACTCAAACCCCTTTTCTGCCATTGGCGTAGAATTTTTAAAGGTGCAATTATTCAAAAAATCAAGTTCTAAGCCTATGTATTATCATCGGACATGGCATGGCAGAAAAGGGGTTTGAGTATGAAATTTGGATTGGGTACTCATATGCTACGAGAAAGTACCCTTGATAACACTCGATTTACTCTCATGTTTTTGACAGACTTTGTATTTTAATAATTATTGTTTATGTTCTAAAATTACTAAAATGCAAATTTCGTCAAAACCATGAGAGCAATCGAGTCTTATCAAGAGTACCTTTTTTAAAGTAGATGAGTTGCGCAATCTAAATTTCATACTCAAACTCCTTTTCTTCCATTGGCGTAGAATTTTTGTAGGTGCAATTATTTAAAAAATCAAGTTCTACGCCTATGTATTATTATCGGATAAACTTTCAACACCATTTTTTTGCCACATAAAACTCTATCAATTTACCAAATTTCAGCCGAATCGCATATGCCGTTTTGAATTTATATGGGAAAAACGATTTAAAAATTGTAACTTCAAGGCCCTCTGGAGCCCAAACGATGCAACTTTGTACTGAGGTAATTTTACCTAAATTGACTTATTTTGGTCTAGGGAATATGTGGTATGTTTTTGTAAGGACCTTTTACAGACACCCTGTATAAAAAGTGGTGCTATATCTCTGCTACAACACCCATATAACAATGTTATTTCATAAATTTCGTGTTCCATCATGGAAGTAGTGACTCGCACGACGGTTTTCTATTTGCAAAGCTGGTATCAGCAGATTCAGAATACTGTTCAGAATACTGTTATATAATTCACAATACTATCACCCAATCCACAATGCCACAATTTCATCTTAGACATTTAAATATAGTCGAGTACCTATATAGTTCGATTTGTCTCAACTCTCAACTTAAAACAACCAGCTTTTCACCAAAATATTATACAATATATTTTGTTACATAAATAGCTATTATTGCATCGGCGACATTCTCTCAATTCAACAATTTTTATCGATCCGTCCGTAATGCTAAGAAGTTAACTTACTGACGGGCCTACACGCGTTCCTTGCGGTACACCCACTCCCGGATAATCTGTAGAGCAATGATCTGTCAATTTTACGAATAAATCGTAATTACATTACGAGAAATTATGATGGCGTGACGATTCGTTTGGCACTCCTTTTGTTGAATTTGATTTTTATTTTTGTGCCAGTGCCCACGTTAATTCTACCCAAATACAATACTGGGCGTTACTTTAATTTGACTGTTTGATCTGTCGTACTATTGTTTTCGTGTGTTCTTGGCTTGAGAGGTTTTATCTGAAGCGAGACATTCAGAACACACTATGTATCATGTTTGCAGCTCAGATTGTCAATCGACATTTCCGTCGACTATTTTTTATTTATTTATTTATTTATTCATTTTTAAAATAACATACATATCATATCAGCATAATATACAGTGTGACCCATTTAAGATGGAAGCACCCTTATAAAACTTACATTTTTCAACCGATTGGAATGTTTTTTTTTTTGTTAGGTAGATATTCAAAAAGTCTATTAGGACACCAAATATCATGAATAAATCTCCATTTCCAGGGCCAACTAATCTGATTTTTCAAGGTCAAAAATCTAAAAAAATTACTAGCGATTTTTTTAGAAAAAATCTGACTACACCAATGGATTTGTGACATTTTCAAATGGGTAACATGTGAATTACGTTGAAATGCGTCAATCAATAAAAAAGTTATAAAGGAATGAAATTTGAAAAATATGCCGTTTAATCAACCCACCAATTCATGTTCAGGAATTTTATGAAAATTCTGTATACTCCACTGGATTCAGGATGTCTTGAAATATCACTGATCACAGTTTCATCGAAATCTGTTCAGTAATAAAAATTGATGGGTTGATTAAACGGCATATTTTTCAAATTTCATTCCTTTATAACTTTTTTATTGATTGACGCATTTCAACGTAATTCACATGTTACCCATTTGAAAATGTCACAAATCCAGTGGTGTAGTCAGATTTTTTCTAAAAAAATCGCTAGTAATTTTTTTAGATTTTTGACCTTGAAAAATCAGATTAGTTGGCCCTGGAAATGGAGATTTATTCATGATATTTGATGTCCTAATAGACTTTTTGAATATCTACCTAACAAAAAAAAAATCATTCCAATCGGTCGAAAAATGTAAGTTTTATAAGGGTGCTTCCATCTTAAATGGGTCACACTGTATTTATAATAATATAATTTTTCTCAATATAAACATGATCAAAGAAGTTGAAAACTTGTCCATGATCATGTAATTTTTTTTCCTTCCACTAACTAACTAGAATTGGCTTATATCACAAAAAAATTGTATTTCATAATTCGATAGAACTCACCCAAACTAGCTCACCACCGCAAACCGTTTCTTGCTGTGAGCTCCTTACGTTTTATAAAAAATTATTGAAATCCCCGATTTTTCGGACCTCTGAAAACGAGGCTATCATGTGACGTCAAAACCCTTATACTGAAACAAGACTATTCCAGACAGAGATGAATGATTTCTGACAGTGTGAATTAGCGCGAGATCACAGTTGAAAGAATTAATATATCAGCTGCCTCAGTCACCGTCGGGCGTTTGGTGGCGAGATGAGGTTTCTATACGTCATAAGAGGGCCTGTTTTCAGAAGGTACTATTATTCATGTCCAGAAATAAAACATTCCAGTTGATTTTTCGATCGAATTATGTCGTCAATCATTATTTATGTATAAAAGGATCATTATAAACATGGTTTGATTTAAAAGTTTTACTAAGGTGTACTTACACGCCCATTCAATTACTCATTGAGTTCAAAAATAACTATAAAAACATGATGTGTTGCATAAGTATTGTTTCATATAATCGAATTTTCAAAATTTCTGAATTCTCAATAAATCACGATTTTAATTTTTTCATAAATATAATATAAATGGCATGTTGTTGCATTAGAGTTGAAGAGAATGTCTCAGTTGATATTCAACCATCAATTTTATTTTTGGTGTCATATTTATGTTTTGCATAATTATCGTTTTGTTAATGATTGCTCATGTATATTGTTGATGTTTTATGAAACAATTGATCAACAGATAAAATGTTATAGTGTTGAAAGAGAATTTTGGAAGAATAATCGTGAGGTTTTTTGAAGATTATTTTCAAGGTACATTTTTGAATTGATATAATGCGATGAATAGAATCTATTTTTCGCATTCATCCTTTATTCAGAATCTGTACTTGAAATCATCAGTATCCATTAAAGTCACTGACAGTTGTCA